ATCTTCTCATTAATATCTGATGAACTTTCTTGGGACACTGAAGTTCAGAGGGAGGAAAGAGGAGAAAGGGAGTAGTATAGGGGTTAACACAAACTCACAGCAGCATGCTTAGTTATAAAATTCCATTCTTCAGGTATAAATGCCAGGGCAGGCTAAGAGGGTTCCTCAGAACTCCCAAAATCTGGCTTGTTTCATGCTAGACATTTACCCAAGGGTTGGCCAAGTGGCAGATGGGCAAATGCCCCACCAGCTTCATGTCTGTCAGACGATAAGCCCAGGCCAAAGCAGGGATGTACTAAGGCTGGTAGCCATTTCTTTCTCTATCTTCAAAATAAATACCACCTCCCATCCACAGGTCTTGGGCCCAAAACAGCCTCCAAAACATTGGGAATCCAGCAGGCCAAGCATAAAATGGGATAGGGATTGAGAGGATGAGGGAGTACAAGGGCCTCCAGAGGCTGAGGGTGGAAGTGGACCAGGTGAGCCTGGTGAGGCCAGGCTCCCATGCCTCCTAGGTTCTATCTGAACACAATCCCTGTCCTGAATCTTCCTTGAGAGAGATATTTATTCACACTGTCAGCAAGTAGTACTGCATGCCAGGACTAGAGAAATACCTCATACATAGGTCCTAACCTTAAGGACTTAAAGAGAAGGGAGACATACATAGAGAGGGAAAGAAAGAGGGAGGTAATTTCCCCTTTTGAACTTGGGTCATGAAAAAAGTTTTTCAGGAGCTGCTATATGAACAGGACTTTTTAAAGGATGTACAGAATTTAGACAGGCTGAAAAGGATATTTCAGGTCTGAATCCTTAGACATGTATATAGAAAGGTTTATCTAGGACAGAGGGCTAAGAAAAAGGTAGTGCCTTAGAGCAGAAGAAGGGCCTTAGGATAATTCAGCTATACTGTCAGCTGGGGAGATCACATCAGGAATGGGGGTTCTGTCTTGTAGTACAAAGTGGTTTATGCTCAAAAATAGTGACCAAAATTTGGGGCTGTTTCTTCCAGTCAGAAAACAAGCCCCAAACCAAGAAGTGTGGTAGGTTAACACCTTTAATGAATATACCAAATAATCTGCTCTCCAAAATGACTGCTTTGTGTCTAGAGGCCCTTCCGAGGCCTGTTCTGAAACCAGCCCTCCAGGTGCCAGTGATGGGTCTAGAGAGTTGCAAACAGAAATTAACCCTTGGCCTTTGGGGTATCTTACATGACTAGGAGAATAGGCACAAAAGGGGGTTATGGTGCTGACAGGTGTAAGTTGGCATTCTTAGTTGCAAGTAACAGAAACCAACTCAAATAAAGCAACAAAGTTTTATTGGAAAGCTATGTGGGAGCTTGGGGAATTGTCAAGGAGGTTGGAGAATCAGAGAAACTGACAGGAACAAGGGAAATGAGCATCAAAGGACACAGCCCTACCACACCACAGGAGCTCTTCACTGCCAGCACTGTCAGCTCAAACCCCAAACGCCACAGCATAGGACCACTGCTGTGGCCACCACCAGCATCACCACAGTCGCACAGGAATGAATGCTTCATGTACCCTGCTCCTTTGAATTCTTCCCTTCAGACTTACAATATTGGATACAAGTGTTCTATTAACTTTAACTGAAGTCTTAGGCCCAAATCCTAGTTGCTTAGGGTCTGCACAGGCCTCTGGCTTTGAGGGATTCCTTAGTAGGCAGACCTCACCTCCTTCGAGACTTCCTGCAGTGGCAGCTTTTTCCAACACCAGCAGAGGGCTACCAGTTTTGATTATCAAGGGGAAATCCAGGTTGCTGCTATGCAATGGGAGCTGGGAGGAAGATGACTAGGACTCAAGTTGTACCCCTAAAACCCCTTCTCAAACTACCATGTGTGATGCCCAGTGAAGTTGTTAATGGCAAAGCAACACACCCCAACACATAAAGGGCCCTTCAAAGTCTAGCCTTTGAATCTCCATGACCAGATGAGGTGCTCACTGAAGGCAAAAGGAGAAGGCAGATGGGGTGCGGGAGGACAAAGTTATAAATATTAGCTACTGACTTGACCAGTTACAGAAAAGGGGACTGTGGCCTCTACCCCAGTTGCTATACTTGCAGGGAGAGAGAAAGAATTATCTCTTTTTTAAAATTGTAGATTTGTTTTATTTTACTTATTTTGTTAATATTCATGAAAAAAAATACTGATTCTGTAAAAAAAAATCAAGCAAATTATTTTGGGTGAAAATCAAAACTCCCCTTGCTCACTCATTTCCCCCTGTCTCTCCCCAGAGGTAACCACTGTTATCAATTGAGAATGTAGCCTTCCAGATATTTTTATGCATTTTCACATATAGGTTAGTTTTGCAAGGTTTTATTTTACATAAAGACTGTACATATTTCTATACAATGTTCTTTTGTTGTACTTAACATTATGTCTTAGAGATCTTTCCATATCAGCACATAAAATTTTTAACTGCTGCATAGTATTAATTGCATACTATCAAAGTATCCAAGTTGGGTTGAAAGACATGCATCACTTTACATTTTGGTAGCTGTCACCAAACCTTTTCTCCAAAAAGGCTGCTGTTTTACATTCACACCAAGAGCATGAGTGTTCCATTTCTCCTTGTTCTAACCCAAAGTAGGTATTATCATAGAGAAAAACCTTATTACTTTCTAATGGACACAGTATGTTTCACTGTTGCTTTAATTTTCATGTCATGGTGGCATAGTGCCTAAGGCATTTGACTGCTAACCAGAAGGCTGGCAGTTCAAACCCACCAGCCACTCCTCCATAGACTGGGCAATCTACTTCCGTAGAGACACTGCCTCGGAAATGAAAAGAGGGGTTGCTATAAGTTGGAATCAATTCGACAGCAGTGACTTTGGTTTTTTGGTTTTATTATCAGTGAGGCTGAACATTAATAATATCAAGGCTGTTGGAGATGGGAAAACAGCTCTCACAAACTGTTGGTAGAGCATAAATTAGTACAATTACATTGGAAAGCAATTTGTGCTCAAACCCTAACCTAGAAATTCTACTTCCATATACTTACCCCTAGGGAAACTCAGACATGTGCAGAGAATCTTATTAAAATGTTCCTTGTCGCAAAATACTGGGAGGAACCTAAATATCCATCAATAGAAGAATGGATAAATAAATTGTGATAACTCACATAATTGAATATTTAGTATACAGCAGTCAAAATGCATGAAATATATCTACATATATCAAAATGGTTAAATCTTGAAAATAATGTAGAGTGAAAAAATCAAGTGTAAAACAATATATACATTCTATCATTTATGTCCATTTTAAAAACATACTCTGCTACTCTGCTGGTTACGGATACACACACACACACACACACATATATATACACACATACAGATACACACACATATATATGTCTACAAAAATAGACAAGAAGTAAACACACCATTTCCTGGGTAGTGCTTACCTCTGTGGAAGAAGGTAAATGTGACAGGGGGAAAAGCTTCACCTGTGCCTGAAAATTTGTATTTATTAGGGAGAGAAGGAGGGAGGGAGAGAGGGAGGGAGAGAAAGAGAGAGTGATCTGAAGCAAATATGGCTAAATATTAAAATCTGTTCACTTTGTATAGGTACCTGTTCTGTCATCTTCTTCTATTTTTTTGGTAGCATTTGCCAGGTATGTATTTTTCTATTCCTGCATCACTGTGATAAGTCATGTAATCAGCATATAGCTTTCTCCCCCCCCATTCCCTCTGAATGTTTCTATTTTCTAAAATGCAATTTTAACTGATTCACACCTATACAAGGTCTGGATTCATTCCTACCATTGTTCTTTTTTTTTTTTTTTTATCACATTCAGTGTTTCTTTCCTTCTCATAGACTGTTTCCCCTATAGTAGCTTTACAATTACACACTTTATTTCTAGTTTAAAAAACAATCACCCTTAATTTTTCGCTGTTGTTGGAGTCAGCATTTTCAATGAAACTAATTTTTGTCTACTGTTGGGAACACCAAAAATCTCTACTTTTGATGCAAATACAAGGGATCAATTATAAAGTCACTCAGTTATCATTATGACAAAAGAAAACAATTCCACTATACCATGTAAAATCAAAAGGAGAACTTTAATAAGCTTTTACTGCACTGCAATTACAGGAACCTGTAACATGCAACAAAAATGATTATGTCTTTTGGACATAGTTAACAGATAAATTTGACATTACAATTAACAGCAACATATTATTCTACTGGAAAAAACAAATGCAACTTATTTCAACTTTCAAGTTAGAAAATTTATGTTCTTACTATAGTCCCAAGCAGCATTTAGAAAGTTTACTTTTCCCTTTCTAACCTCTAAAAGACAATATGATTTTAATGCAATCATACACAACCATTTTCACATTGGAAATAATCACAAGGAATCAACAAGTTTAGTTTGATTGATTGGTTTCATTGTAGTTAATTTTGAGAGGGCTCCTGCAGTACTGTGGATTTCAGATGGGGAAAATAATCAGACCAGGAGTAAACAGCCTTGGTCTTTAGAGTGGGGGAGGGAACATACAGCGGCACACAGGGCAGGTGCCTGACTTCTGAAGCCAGATGGACACACACGGCTTGTGGAAATAGTGGTGGCACGGCAACTCAGTTGCCACCTCCCCCTTCACATATTCACTGCAACAGATGGGGCAACACATTTCCTGACCAACTGCACTGTGATCTTCAGTGACCAGAATCTCAGGAAGAGTGTCGATGCTCTCCTTGCTCGCTGGTGGATTGGCCACCTCTACATCCACTGCAAGGGACTCCAAATGTGCAAGGGCAGTTTCCATGGCTTGAGCCAGCCGTTCTTCAAGTGCCATGTAGGTAAGAAACTGAGGATCCACATAGGAAATGGCTTCAGCCACTCCTAATCCATCTGCAAATCCATCAAAGAGGCTCCAATCCACTTCCAGGTCTTCGCTCACACTGGAGTCATCTTCAAGGTTGTTGTTTCCATCCAGCATGAACACTCCAGGTTGCATAAACTCATGACCAGAATCATTATCTCCCTCACTGCTACTCTCATTTTCATTGTATTGCAGCCAAGGAATTTCTCCTTCTTCCAGTGATGCTGGCTCCTCCTCCTGAAGAGATGGTTCTCGAACTTCTTCAAGATAATTGCTGCCATTCCTGCTAGCACTGGCACTGGCACTGGGGCTGGTGCTGGCACTGGCATTAACTCTAGGTTGCTCAGGTTCATGATCTTCTTTCCCTGGTAGAGTCTCCCAGCTTTCACCACTTGAGGACAGAGTTTGCTCTCGACCTCGGTACTTACAACGCAGAGCAGCAGTCCACTCTTTATCACTGTCAGAGTCTTCATCACAGTATTTGTAGTAATCGTCACCGTAGGTCCAGAAGTCAGAGTCAGCCATGGTTCGTCGTTGTCTTAGCACCTTTTCCGGTTTCACTTGATGGTTCCTTGCTTCTCTCTTCTCTTCAGGGTACTTCAGCTCAGAGTAGCCACTTGAACTTTCACCTCTGCCTTTTCTTGCCAGGCCATCTGAGTGGCCTTCATCAGTGTTGACAGTATCCTTCCACCTGGCAGTACTGTGTGGTATATCATCATCATCATCAGTATCAAAAAATATTTTTGGTTTCACAAAATTTGGACTCGCCAGATTTCTGATTTTGGGCCTAACCACCAGTTCCTCTGAACTCTTTGGGGTGTTTTCCCCACCACCACAAATACTCACAGGAGCCCTGCTGGGACACTCAGATAAATTCTGCTCCTGTCTTTCCCTCTCTGAGATGTCTTTGCTTGTAGCCACCTTGTCTTCAGCAGAAGACATGCCATTTTGCTGCACAAACTCAGCTTTCTTAGCAGAGCATCTCACTGTAGGGGCTATGTCTAACTTGTCAATCTCCTCTTTCACATCATGGTTAAAACTAGAGAACTGTGGTGGCTTCCCAGCCAAAGACCTTGCCCCTTTCTCTGGGTCATACAGCTTATCATCATTACACTTGCCAATTTCCCCTCTCCCTTGAGGTCGCTCAACAAGCCCAGTCCCCTCCTCCTCACTATCATTGGCCCCATAGGAGTCATTATGTCCATAAGCCATTCCTCTTCTGCTACCCGAAGCCCTGTACTCTCTTGGCAGATACCTGGAATAGTCCTCATTATTAGCATTCAGACTGCTTCCCGAGCTCTCACTGTCATCCCAACTACGTCGAGTGGTGGAAAATGGTGATCGGCTCCTCCTGGTGGTTTGATTGGGGGCTGATCTGTGCATTGGGACTTCAGATGTCGTCTTTCTCTGGCTGGAAATCCTTTCCTGCTGGCTCGTAGATGGCCTGAAACTGACATAAGCATGCCTTCTTCCATATCTCCTGCCTGTATTGGACTGATACCCTCCTGCTGGTTTGGGCCATACAGGCTTGCTAGATTCCTGACCCATTGCTCTGACTTAGGAAGGTTTCCAAATACAGCTGGGGCTTGGGTGAAAGGCTCCTGCTCCCTGCACACGCTTTTGAGATGGGACTGTCAAATCAGTTCAGAATAAAGGAGCAAGGAGATTTATTTTCACTTCAGCAGGCAGGTAACAGAAAGAATAAGGGGCCTTTAAAATTAGTTTCACTTTCTTCTAAGGCCTTGAGTAGCATTCCAGTGACTGTCAGGTGTAGACCTGGAACACATTTTTAATGTTGGCAAAATGATTATAAAACTGTGCTTATAGGAAAGCCAGACTTAAAAGAGAATCTGACAGAAGGTGGGGGATGACTGGACGCTTAGAAGGTGGGTGAAACACTTGGAACTGTGCCAATGCAGGAAGAAACGGCTGCAGTTATTTTTTTTTTAACAAGGTGTCTGCATTTTTCTGGGCTCTGTAGACATATAGGAGACATGCAAATTGGAACAGTGTGGAAAATACGGATCACTTTGTGCATGTCCATCAGTGCATGTGCATGTGTCTGTCAGGAGGAGAGGGGCAGGTGGAAGGTAGACCAGCAATTCTACCATGAAGAGATGTCTGTCTGTGGTGGGGAGGGGTCAGCAACAGATGCACTAGGAAGGGATGTGAGTGTCAGACAGAATGAGAATCCCTCTGAATGTGGGTGTGAAAATGACAGGTGTAGGTGGGGTGGCTTCAGAGGAGAGGGGTCTGTGTAAGTATGGGAGAAAGACAACGTGTGCACCTATGTGGAGCTGTATGTGTGGCAGGCAGAAATGTATGGAGTGATATCTGTGTTCGTGTGTATGTGGTAGGCAGGGAAGGGTACATTGGCACTGGAGAGGTACCCATGTGTTTGTGTATGTTTGTCAAAATGGGAGGCAGCAATAGAAAAACATCAGTGTGAGCAAATGCAGCAGGCAGGGCTGGAGGGGGCCGTCCTGGAGAGCAGAAGTGTGTGTGGCAAGTGGAACAGGGCAACAATCAAAGAATGTTTGTATGTGTGAATATAGCAAGCAGGGAGGGGGGTGGTGTCCCTAAAGATTTATGTAAGTGTGAATGTGTGCAACCACGGGGCCCCCAAATGAGGATGTCTATGCACAAATGTGGCAAACAAGGGAGTAGGAGAGGAGAGCACTTGAGAGGGGTGTGTGAAGAGTGTGTGTGAGAGCACACGTATGTAAGGGACATCCATAAGAGGAGCCAGAAATAGACAGATGTCCCTATGTGTGTATGTGGCAGGCATGCAGAGGGTGAGTGAGATGGAGAGAATGTGTGAGTGTGTGTGAGTGTGAGTGTGTGTGTGTGTGTGTGTGTGTGTCTGACATCCATGTGCAGGGGAGGGGCAGCAACCTAGAATATAAGGGGGAAGGGAAAGGGGCTGCAATAGAAGGTTTCTGTGTGCGCACAGGCATTCGAAATGGGGAGGAGGAGGGGGCTGCAACGTCATAATGAAAGATGAGAGACAGGAAAACGTTATCAGAGAAAAGGGCAGACCAAAATCAACGTGGTAGGGAAGGGAGCAGAGCGGGAGAAAAGGACTGGCTATAGTTATTCCCTGGGAATATTTTTTTCTTCTGAAAATTCCTTTCCTGGAACAATATTCTTACCTTAAAAAATTAACCATTTACTATTCCGCAAAACAAAAGGCAAATGGAGGAAGAAAGGCATGGGGCACTCCGCAAAGGGACAGAGAAGAGGAAACGGAGGAGGGGAAGGAGAGAAGCAGAGAGAAGTGGAAGAAGGCCACGACCACTACTACTCTCAATTACCGATTAGAGCCATTTGAGTGGGGGTCGCTCCACCCGAGGATCAGAAAAGCAAGATGGAGCCCCTAAACAGCCCTCACTCTACAGTCAGGTTCCGTGTCCGCCCCATTCCTTCCCATGGGACAAACCTGAAAATTCGTTCACTAGAACCCCCCAAAATCCTCGCCTCCATGCCCAGCCACTCGCTCCCAAGGCCGGCCACTCACCCCGCCGCCAGCATGTGGATGGATTGAGGACATAAACAGCCAGCCCTCCACTCACCCAGTCCGGACACCCGCAAGATCTTCGGAGGAGCAGAGCTCTTTTACCTCTGACCGCCACAACCGCCAGAGCCTCTGCTCCTGGGTCTCCAGCTCTTCCCCCGCCAGACCTCAGCGGAGCAGGCAGCGGCGGCGGCGGCGGCGGAAGTGATTGTGGGGACGGCTGGAGCCCGCCCCCTTGATGTGGCTGGGGCGGTAGCTGCCCCGAACAAATCAGGGTGGGCCAGAACGCATTATTTCATTTTAAATGACGAAATTGTCAAGGATAGACAGGGGAAAATGTTTTAAAAATTCCAATATTTAAAATGTCAAGCCATGTTCCCTTCTGTTTTCCTTTTATATACCAGTAAAATAAAAATTTCAAATTATTTCCGATGTGAAAATAATTATACTACCATATCACAATCTAAGGAGCCCTGGTGGCTCAGTAGTTAAGCACTTAGCTGCTGACAGAAAGGTAGGCAGTTTGAACCCACCAGCTACTCCGCAGGAGAAAGATGTGGCCCTCTGCTTCCTTAAAGATTACAGCCTTGAAAACCCTATTGGGCAGTTGTACTCTGAATCAACTGGATGGCAATGGGTTATCCTTGGTCTATGTTATGGTTTGAACTGGAAATATAAAAATGTGAAACTAGAGGGGCAACATCCACTCGGAGGAAAAGCAGGACGCACAGGAGTGCATAAATAAGAAGGCGGGGGGGCTTACTGGGAAGGGAGGGGAGGAGAATAGGTTAGGGTTGAGGATGGTAATGTTGTTGTTGTTGTTATGTGCCCTGGAGTCGCCCCGACTCATAGCGACTCCTCCTTGGGTTTCCAAGGCAGTATCACTACAGAAGTAGATTGCCCCATCTTCCTTCTGAGGAGTGGCTGGTGGGTTTGAACCGCCAGCCTTCTGGTTAGTAGGCAAGTGCCTTAGGCACTATGCTACCAGAACTCCCTGAGGATGATAATAGGGGAGTGAAACCAAATGTACACGAAATGTTGAATTAAAACAAATTCTGCTTTGCAAATTTGCACCTAAAGTACAATCAATCAATCAATGTGAAACTATATTCACGGTTTCAGAAAGGTAAATACTTCAAACATACCAAAACCAGCTCACTGCCATCCAATTGATTCTGACTCACGGCTGTAAATCTTAACAAAAGCAGACTGCCTCACCTTTCTTTTGCGGAGCAGCTGGTAGGTTCAAACCACCAACCTTTTGGTTAGCAGACAAATGCCTTAACCATTGCACCATCAGAGCACCTCCTTCAAAAAATGAGATATGTACAAATTTTATTTTCTTCAGATCCTCTGGTGCTTCTTTTTTTCTTTTTTTAACTTTTTAAAAAATTATTATTGTGATTTGTGTGAAAGTTTACAGAGCTAATTCACTTTCCATACAGCAGTTCACATATACTTTGTCTCATGACATTGACCACAATTTACCACAATGCAACAGCTCCCCTCCCACTT